TGTTAGTTATCAAAACAAACACCTTATTGTCACCATAGGCTGGGATGCCTCTTCAATACGTTTCCGAAGGCAACAAACTCACGCCAAGCATCCCCCGGTCCTTGTTGAATTCCTTGCGGAAGCAGTTGTCGTGTTATCAAAACAAACACCTTATTGTCACCATAGGCTGGGATGCCTCTTCAATACGTTTCCGAAGGCAACAAACTCACGCCTCCAAAGCATCCCCAAACGGTGCGTATGGATCCGATTAAACATTACCCTTAGCAAGATGTGGAATCAGCCATTTTGAGAACCTGTTCGATCCAGCGGAAGTGCTTCTTTAAAAGAAGTCCGTACTTGTTTATTTTACATTAATAATTCTAAATACAACTTACCAACCTCTGCGTGTCGGCGAACAGCGTAATGTGAGGAATGTGTATGATACTACGCGTAACCTACCAACTAGACCACTACGAACGATTCATACAATGCAAAATATTGATAGCGGTACGAGGGAGTCTTGAAATTTTTCAATCAAGATTTTACCCTGTAAGTGAAACTGAAAGCCAACGTGCAGCTATTTCATCCTTACTAGCGAAAGGAATAAGGCCTTCGATGCGGAGTTATTTATTAGGAAACGCCAAGTGGACAGTTACAGACTACTGGACAGGGGAGCAAAACTCTCATATGCAACTTGTTTACAAAAACTGAATATCCATCTTCTCCTTGAATGCGTCTTCTTGAACTTTCCTGGATATTCAGTGAATGTTGCTCAAGTGCAAGCAAATGCGACTCCACAAAATCCGTAATAGATCTTACTTTTCAAGAGACACGAAGTGGGTTTACGAGAAAACATACTACTCGCATGCCCCCATCAGTAGTATCCACCGTTACACTAGGATCATCAGGAAAGCGCACCTCACTAGACTCCAAGGAGTATAGTGGACGAAATCTCAATTGAAAATTATCAAATCTTCTCAGAGTACCATCGGTTTATAATTAGCTCGGAGGAATAATTATCTCACAAGGTGAATGGAATTTCCATCAGACAAATGGTCACTTGAGAGGCCAGTCAATACTTAATGTGCATTCTATGAGTGAAATATGAGTGGCGCAATATCCTATCTAATTGCGAGTTTATTACAATGCTCGTGGTCGAAATATTGTGTTCAAATTAGTGAACGGGAGTTTCCGGGTTCGAAGCTCTCCAGAGTTTCGTCAGATGCACAATGCTATTGACTTCCAATAAGGATGAAACAAGTGTTCAGTGATTCTCAGCTTCTCAGTGTAGAGTGGCTTCACCTACAAGACGAAATCTCAATTGAATGCAAAATATGACAAAATGGCTACAAGATAAATAGGGAAAATATGACCCGCATTCGTTCGACGGGTCAAAGATCATACCACACACAACTAACTCTGAATATCATGTCAGGTTTATGGCTTACTTTCTGTGTTGCGTTAGTTAAGCAGAATGGTCTGGAGATGGTCTGGAGGAAAAAATGACAATAGCAACAGTCGTAGGAACCACGAGACTGCTTAGTCTTAAATTTCCTCGGCAGGTGATCTGATATGCTGTCTGGTGACTGACTGCATATCTCACGTCGCCTAAGTGAGCTGAACTGAAGCCCCATTACTCTCCACGATGTGTCACTTATGGTAATGTTCTTCGGTCCATCTTGTCTAGTTTCTGGTCTTATAGCCACCATTTGCACATGTGACTTGGTAAACAACCGTGGGAGGAGTCAACAACGATCACTTTCTATATTTTGCTGACAAAATGGGGATGCTAGTTCAACATGTTTCCTTTCAAATATCAGTATGAAAGCCAACGAAGGTAGTGACCGATACTGGAAACTGGATAATTATCAGGCCATTGGGCGTCAATTCATCCTATACTCCATCCTAATTGCGCTGAATCTGTCTTGAAACTGTGATACATTGAAGCGAATAGCGTTGTACCCATACCAAGGGGCAGATTGATTAGGCAAGTTCAGCCAAGGACAGCCTGACGATGTAGTGAAACGGAGCGTGGGCAGAGTTCAGGAGGCCATCCTTTAAAAGTGGCCACTGGCTATCAAATTCCCTTTACTGATCCAGGATATTTCTGTTAGAAACAAAAGTGAAGCGCTTGGAAAACAGAAAGTATCTCACCGCCAGTTCTGAAAGGTTTACCTCCTCGGGAAAATCACGGCGAAAAAGAACCATACGTAGTCCGGTCGGCGGTGAGGGGATAATTGGATACTGCGAACATTCCAACATCCTCTCTTCAGTGATAACTGAACGTTGGATCGTCTTTGTGTTGACTGGATGGGGCTAATAATCCGCCTAATTGATCCAGACTGTGGGTGACTACAAAAAGTTTCTGTACTACTTCATGGAGGAAAGAAAACTACACGGCTTAAATCAGCCCATCGTTAGCTTCTCTTCGAGTGACACGCTATTCTAAGTACTGAAACGAACGACTATTCTCGCCTCTTCGTGGTGTTCACTTTCTAGTATCCTGCTCTTAGCAGGTAGCATTGCCTGTAGCATGTTTGACATGGTTCTGATTATGGAAAGGATACTCTGAGAGAAGGTTGCTGAGCTGTGTTCCATTCGGGTTTCACGTTGGGATCACTCTGATCCCAACCTTAAAACTATTGCTTTAATTTGGCGCTCATTGTCTATCCTGTCATAAATTGATGCGTTAAAAGTCAGCGCTACTTAGTTCACACCAAAGTAACCTTGAGAATGGCACTATTTTCTTTGCTCTTATACGGACATGGCCCTTGTGGAGAGAAGAGGACGAAATTAGCCCCCTCAGCTTGAGGCACCTCTTTCTGAAGGGCCATCTAGATAGTGACGAGAATACCTGGAAGGTGAATAGAAGGACTAGGACATCAATGCACAGTTCAGCAATTCATCCAGCTATTGTTTTGCAGCTGTTCTTGTTGTTCAGTTTTCTTCAAATTCCACAGATAAACACGATGTGACACACACACACACATAAATAGCTACAATAGTCGGATGATACTTGCTACTGTTTAGGCTGCTGACTGTATCAACAACGAACTAGTATTCGGGGTCCTCTCAGACACACTTACTTACATCTAGCTAACTACTAGTACCGAGATGCTTGCGCAACCAGAAAACCACCTCAGCTTGAGGCAATCAACGGTAGTGGCCTTCACGAATAACCAAACGAGAGAAAGCATGCACCCACGCAGAACCTTTTCAAGTCAAATAAACAACGCAGGCTACTGAGTCCTTGGCATTTCTGGCATGTTGATGGTCATCAACAGCGAACACATGTATCGTGACTTCTGCTCGCCTGGTGTGCCAAACAACATCTCGGTTGATCCTGCTGGACCGGAGAAACAGCAATCACGCTGGCGTTTTTGTTGGTCAGGTTGATTGTTTTCTATCATACAGGCAGCATTTCCGATGTTGCGCACGTGTATGCCTGAATTCTGCAACGAATATCATCGGTCACGTGGTAGTGGATTAACAAAGACTACTGTGGACGGCAAAACGGATTTTGGTTCTACTCTGAATGGATCCATTCATTCTCTTTGGTTGTCGTTCAAGAGTGGGTACGTTCCTGGATGCTTGAACAGAAGTGTAGCAACATCGAAACCCTTTGTGTGTGTGTGTGTGTGTGTGTGTGTGTGTGTACGAAGGTAGCAAACACATCACGTGACTGCTCCACCATGGCCAGTACCATTCTTCTAGTTTTTTTGTTTTTCTTTCAAGATGGTATTCACGGTTTCATTCCTCTCCAATTCCACAATCTGGTTGAGAAACATCGCTCTGCAAGATCCGCATCGTTATTGTCAAGTTTATGAAGGAATCAGAACGAGGACGCCAACAATGGCCCATCAGTTGGACAAGTAACGCGTAACACTACAGCTGAGTGTAGTGCAATGGTACTATCTAGGATTTTTAGCCTGAAAGTCGTGCAATCTGTGGGTTGATCATGTTCCATTGAGTACGACAATCAGGTTTCAGCCCCTCAAAATTGAGAACAACAATGATTGAAACCAGCTCTACATTTTCAGCACGATCATATACTACACTGGTGTAAACAGTCCGTGAGTGTCAGAACTGCCAATCCTGATGCACTGTTGCCTTGATGGTTCTAGAATGTTTTTCACTACTTTTGCGATTCTTGTGTGTGTGTGTGTGTGTGTGTAAAGATTGGCACTGCCATCGAGATCTAGCTTCCCACGAGCCACTCCGCAGTGCTTGAGGGGCTTACCGCTGGAAAAATTGCGCCGAATTCAGGTCTCCAAGTAAGGATGGCTTCAGTCCAGGAAATCAATGAAAGTGGTTTATCCACACACAGCAGTTAGCCACATAGAAGCGAAAGGCGTACAGTAACTCCATCAAGAGAAAACTCTTCGACGAAAGGCAGCTCCCCTGGATCAATCCGTCAGCCGTGGCCCACATGGAGACGAATATGTCAGTCCTCCGGCAAAAGCATCCATCCCACAAGATAGGTTTTTCCCTTTGATAATCCACAAAATCACCCTTTATTGGGTAGTCACTCTCCCAGGAGTGGTCGAATTCTAATTTGCCCTTGCTGGTGACCCACCAAGGTCTGACAAGCTTCAACCATCACACAGAGAAGTTCCAGATGTCTTTAAATTAGGTACAACTTTCACCTAGATTGTCGCAGCAGACCAGACAAATTCTAGTGATACCCTGCCCAGAGAGTTTGACAAACTTTTTCAATGCACAAAACGCTCAGGGAGCCTGCTTACTTTATTCTCGTTCAAAGCTACCCATTCAGAATTTTACACCGTCGCCCAAACGCTGAGTTACCAAACACGCGACCAATAGCGATTTCAAACGCTCAGAACTCAGAGTAAATCATGTTACGTGCTGATAGAGTGCGAAGAGTTTTTAAAGTCAGCTCAAGCTAAGAACAAAGGGATGTACGTCATCGTTTAGTTTCCTTAACAAATACCACCCACTGCAAGTTCTTTTACTGAGAGAGATAGTGTTTGTGTCTTCTTTTGGCCAAGTATCCGAAGGGTTTCTACTCCCAATATCTCATTTCTCCCTACTTGGTCCGCAGTATTGCATATGTTTCCCTCTCCCACTCTAAGGACATATGCACTAACTTCGTACTTATCCGTCTCTTCACTTTTTGTGAGATTTATATCTGGACCGTTTCCACTATACCAGTCTTGACGTTGGTAATTGGTGGGGCGTTTGATGCACTGACACTTTGATGCATCTTTTCTCCGGATAAAAGACTCAAGATGTATGAAGATCCGGACATATGAGCCCATCGGGTTCTTCCTCATCATACAGCCGGAAAACCCTCCTGCATAAACGGCTTCCCAGTGCGGCTTCATTTAGAGCGAACCTCTATTGCCAAGCCATAGCAGGCCAGACCATCTGCAATGGGTTCTGTTTTCTGACTGTGAAAAAATTCTATCTTTTCTCTGGTGTGCTTGGTGGATAAGTTTAAGTTAACTCCAACTTAGGAGGCATTCCCAAAGTTGGGATACTGGTTATCCGGTTTGCTGTGGAGACTTCAGTTGACTTCACCTCAATTTTCGGACCGTCCTGTTGTGTCACAACTTCGTCTCTTGGAGACATTTCCAGAAAGACTGGACACGAAATTCTTCATGAACATCATCGATCGTGTTAATTTCGTCCTATCACGCCTGCCATCATCTCTGATCCCTCTGTGGACCACAATTTCTTCCTTCTCTAACTGCAGCGATGATAACCTGTGCATCATCCTTCGGTCGTTCAGCTGTGGCGCCCTTTCGGTTCCCAACTGCTATACCACCCGAAGGCTGCACGAGGGCTGCGATACTGCCAGGTTGCCCAAACCTAGACAGGGGAAGCCGAGAGGCAGTGGTCGGGTTCGAACCACCGACCTTTCGGTCAGTAAATTCGCGCTCTAACGACTTCTAGCGCGAATGAACGCTACTGCTTATCCCGGGATCGAGTATAATTTGATAACGACTTTGAAACTCCACTGATTGAGCTCACAAGCATCGGTCATATTGACTGCAGCTTGAAGTTGGCAAACTCTCGCAACTACCAAGCGTGCAACCTGATGTGCATTAAGGTGCAATTATACCACAAGACGAGAAAACGCGCAGTGCGGTAGACCCGAGAAACATGTTGGACACTGTTGTTTTTCAAGGCCCCATAAGCTAAAAAGTGCGAGATATATTCCGCGATAACACATCATGGGTCCCTCAGCGTAGAAAAAGTAAACGATCAGACATATTCTCAACTAACCGTAGAGCCGCGTGGCCCACCTACATGTGCTTTCCAATGTTGAGCAATCTGGGAGCATATCTAGAGGTAACACACTACTAATAAGGTTACTGCAAACTCTTGTACAGCCCACGACCGGTTTCGCCCTTCTTAGGGCCCATCAGGTAGGCGCAGTCCCCGAGTTTCCGTACAGATTTAGACAAATGCTCTCACTTACACACAAATGTGGGTTTGACAGGAAACTCAAATGAATCCAGTTGGATCCCTTGTTCATGATGGTCCGCTTCAGTTAAATCTCCTGTCAAAACCAAATCCGTTTGCAACTGAAAGTATTCTTCAAGCCTTGACAGCGTTTTTTTGGTGAATAGTGTAGCGCGGATGGAAGACGAGTTTTGACGCAGTCACAAACAAATCTCCACTGCCTATCCGGTTCTGATCTGGTGGAGCTTCATGAAAAATGACCGCTTCCCGTGCATGGAATGAATCTGGAAAATTATTGGACCAGTGCAACGAGCGATAGCTACTAGATAATGCCTCCAAAGTTTATGGCTTTTTGGTTGTTGGTCAGTTCACCGAGCCTGGCAGTTGGGAGCAGTTGGATTGAGTGAGTCCCACTCAATCCTGCACCAACAATGTCACCTCGGTTGGTGATGAAACGTTTGCAATCAAACTGCCAAGCTTGGCGAAAAGACTAACAACCAAGCAGCGCACCCGAGTCACCTACATTCCACAACATTTATGGCTTTTTGCCTAGCTAGATCCGGCAGGAAATGTCCCTAGTCATCAGTGATTTCGCGGCCTTGCAAGTAACGCGTCGTTCAGGCTACTGACGTTACACCAACCGGTGCAACATCGATAACATCGGCTTTTTGAGTGATCCATCTGTTGACCAGCCGGTGTATGGAAAGCGGGCCAGATGCGAAGTTGAATAACTCTAACATTAACATTTGCATAAACCTTCGGAAACTCCATGTATCCAGATATAGTCTCATAACTTATCTGAGCGCCGTCAAAAGTTATGGAAATAACGAAGGAGTGCAAATTATTAAGGTAGTGAATCCGGAGTGAAAGCCCGTTGGCTGTGAACATGATTTTTTCCGAACTGTATACAGAGGGTACTGTTTACGATTCAAATCAGTAGTATATATCGTCACACTGATAAACGCCGCTGACTTGCCTGAACCCCGACCTATAAAGTGTGTCCATTGCTAAAAGGTCTTCCTCTTCTTCTTGTTTCATGTTGTTCCTTTCTGAATACTCCCAAAATTCCAAGACCGTTTTTTAACCATGGATCAAATAACCGTTAGATTCCCCCACCCCTACCCCACATTGTTTTTTCTCACTAGTCTGTTAACTGTCCGTGACACCAATCAAAACGGACTTACATTAATTTCGATAGACTGGCTGGTGGAACCATCCAGAATAAGCAGCTATTCACTTCATTCATCCAAAACCTCCAATAAATGTTGAGTTCTGTTTTGAAAAAAAACTGACATTTTCACTTTGTAAACCACAGAGACCAGGCGCGATAAGCAAAGAAAAACACACAGGTTGTATGCACTCGTTTGCAAACGAATTCGGTTTTTCGAGAGCCTCACCTGGAACCCAGCTGAAACTCCGGTTTGTGATGATTCCAGGCAACTGAATATGCTGCACCAGGCCGCCTCATGTTTCAGTCACTACGATATTCGAGATATCGAGATACATGTATATTCGTACTACACTACTTATAGAGTTGCTGAAAAAAATTCGTTGACAGCCCACGACCGGTTTTGCCCTTCTTGGGGCTCGTCAGGTAGGCACAGTCCCCGAGTTTCCATCAACCTTATGTTCTACTTGAAAGCAAATTGCACGAAATTAGCGAAATGCATTAATTTGCAAACTAATTTGGTTTTTCGAGAGACTCACCTGGAACCCAGCTGAATCTCTCATTTGTGATGTTTCCCGCAACCTTATGAGTAGTGCATTACGAACTAACAGGTTGTAGTTTGCCCCATCTAATTTCCATAAGAGCTTCTGTCGATCAGCTGCCACTAGAAACCTGAGAACCACCTTGCAGTTACGTCATCCTTGCTAGTAGCGATTGCCTCAAGACTTTTGAATGGAATGTGAACGTGCGGCCCTTTGCCTAAGCAATGAGAGATAGATTTCAGTTGGAGATCGGTCACTAGTAGAATAGTCGGTATTCAACGACTCCTTCCAAATAGAACTACCGACACATGCTCAACACATCGGAATACAAATCCGAATGTTGGAACATATGCTTATTGTTCCCTATCAAGAATGAAATAGCTGTACAACACTTCTTTGGTTAGGCCTCATTGTGTGTTGAATCAGCCTTGAGCGTAGAATTTCCCGAGGAGAATTTACTAAGTGACTAGTATACTCACAGCGTGACAGTAGCAGATCAAAAACTAAAAATTTCCTCACGGCGCTGTATGACTTCTAGTCCTTAAGCGCCGCGCCCTAGCGAAGTGACTAAATTACTAAAACCGAATGGTTGAAAAAAATGTATGGTACAGCTGCGTCTCCGGGAGCAGTCCTTGCGTTCTCGGGTCACCTAGGAGCTGGGCAGCTGTGTCGGAATAGGTCTGCTGAGCTGAAACCTGCATTTCTAAAGTCAATCACAATGCAAATAAACTTGCTGCTGCGGTCTGTTCACCTGTAATAGTACGTTAAATTCTATTCTGAACTCTGAAACTAGTCTGAGATCAAGAATGCACTCATCCTTTCAGCTACCGATCAGCCACTCTGCAGCAGTTCGACGGGAATTCAGTGAGTAAATGTCTTGAAAACTAATCAGGCAAGAGACAGAGATCGATCGTTTCAAACAAGAGGAGACAAGTGGATGTTGTAAACGGTAATCAATGCGTCAGGGTTTCGCAACACTATTGTCTGGTTGATCAGTGATTCTTGTGATGCCCTACATAGGCTTCGGGCAGTGACTTGTGCGACTGATATATTAAGGATCTTTATTATCAACTCAGGTTTTTCACACAAACGTTCAGCCCTTGTTTTGATCTGACTCTCCCTCTTCCCTGTTTCTCTTTTTGTTGGTCGGTGCCCTCTAGGTCTTCATACGGGGAACAGAATCACTACTTTTGTGTTGGCGGATGACTCACTCGTTAGTGAATGTGTCGCACAAAGGAAGCCTCGTGTTTCATTTGGTAGAATATTCGGGATACTGAAGCATATGTTCTTAAAATAACATATGACTGCCTTGTCAACATCAACGTTATTTGCAAGTGAGCGTATTTCGCCAGTTGTGTACAAATGGGTGTTTAAGTAGAGCTGGAGGTCTGGAAGGGCTTCAAAACTCTAGGGTACAAATAGCAGCTGATGAAAACCTTGGAACATGCAGACAACATCGTTCTCGTCTTCGAAAAGAAGAAGACACAAATGTTTCTGCATGAACTGATCAAAGTCCTTTGGCCTGCGCTTTGCATCCACAAAGTGTGAGGTCATGCTCGTGGGCATTCCGTCACTAAACGCCCCACTTACAATCCAGGAAGACACTCGAGGTTAAGTAGCGTTTTATCTATCTTGGAAGTTGTATTATCTCTGATTGTAGTGTGACAGATGAGGTTAATGCACGAATCTGCAAAGCTCGGATCACGTTTGCTAAGTTGGGACACCTATAGTATCAAAGCCGTACATCTCCGAATCTCAAGCGACGTGTGTATCAAGCTACAGTGCTGACCGTTTTGTTGTATGGTTTTGTGACTTGATCATTTCGAGCAGCGGAACTGAGACGTCTTCGGGTGTCCGATAACCGTTGTCTCAGCACCATTGCCCGTGTAGGTTGGTGTTGGCGTATCTGTAACGAGGCAACGAGGTTGTGCAACAAACTGCCCTTGAAAAATGTGTCCAACACAAGAAGCTGCGTTGGTTAGACTATGTATTGCGTATGCCAAACAATCCATTGTCGAAGAGGATGTCTTTTCCGTGCCCAAATCTGATTAGCTGGAGCAGATTGATCAAGACGATGATGATGATGATGATGATGATGATGATGATGATGATGATGATGATGATGATGATGATGATGATGATGATGATGATGATGATGATTTATGTCATGCCAAGAGATCAGCCTTATTCGCTCTAGTGAATATCCGCACATGACTAATTGCAAACAAATTTGTTTGCAAATTATTGTAATTCCCCAATTTCGTGCAGTTTGGTTTCAAGTAGAACATAAGGTTGACGGAAACCCGGGGACTGCGCCTACCTGATGAGCCCCGAAAAGGGCGAAACAGGTCGTGGGCCGTCGAAGAATTTTCAGCAACCTTATGAGTAGTGCATTACGTATATACCAGTAACTTTTGTTCTGTAACCAAAACACAGCTTTTCCAAAGGAAGATGAGGATCAGGAACGGACAAATTTGCTGTCGTCAAGGTACAGACTATTGGTCCAAATTCGTTCCCTGCTCATTCACTGGGATCATTACATCATGCTTCCATACGTTCGCCATTATCTTCCGACTTGCTGCATTCCACTCACCGAACAGAATAGCATCCGCAGCCTTGACTGTTCTTCTACCTGAAAACACCAAGATAACCGCGCACCACAGTAATAAATGCAACCGGCACTTTGGTGAAAAATTTACTGATTTGAAATTAAAACTGATGTGATGTTCAATCGAGATCGCGTCCCAACAGTGAAGCCAGCCTATACCGCCTTCACTGGGAAACACCGTACATTTGGTTCATCCTTGTTGGGAATCATCAGCGGTGCGCATCAGTAAGCAGCTCAGAGGAAGAATAATTTCTCATGAGAAGTGAAACTTTCACCTGGGAAATCGTCACTTAAGGAACCAGTCAACCCATGATGTGCGTTCCGTTACTAGAAGAGGAGTGAGACTATAACCTCTCTAAGTATGATATAAGCAAGATGCCGATTGGCTGCTGGTGGCCGAACGGTTAAGTGTTCCGGGAGATTCCGGTTTCGAAACTAATGAGTTGGCCACTACTGATTCCCAACAAGCATGAAACAGCTGTACAGCTTTTTCTCACCTTCTCAGTATAGATTGGCTCTGCTCAGAGGACGAAATCTCTGTTGATTTGGAATTATCAGACTACGACAAGCAGATTATCGTTGTTGACAAGGTCTGAATGAAATGAGTACCCTGGTTCGAACCCATCATGGGCGCCTCCAGACTGACTCGCAGTCCTTTTCTGGATTGAAAGAAACAAAAGGAATTATTTATTCATCAATATAACGATTGCTTGGACAAGTTTAAGCAAGAAATTACGCATAATCATAATGTATTGCCTATAGTATTGTATGCCAATTGTGTCTATCTGTTTATAAGTAGCTTCCCATTTCTCAGTCACTATGATCGAAATCCTTTTTAAGCTTACTCTCACTATCTAGTACGTCTGGAACCCTGTGAAGAAAACAGGAGGAAAGCAGACCCAAACTTCCACTATGCTGCGGGCACTGCCCATAAATATAAACAAATGTAACCACTATCATCTTGTTTTCCCCGAGTTTTGGTGAATTTCTTGGTCAAAACCCTCTCAGCCCACCTCTCCTCTTCATTTGTTCTCACAATCGTTCAACGAATGGTCAAAAATAGGCGAGCTTTCACCAGGTACCAAGGAATAGTCGCCGAATGCTTGCATTCGTAAACCAATTAGGTATCGAGGAGTTTTCAGAGAGTTTATTAGTAGCGTGTTACACTTAGATGTTGCTAAAAAGATGTGCTTCCGAGGACTGTCTTGGGAGTCACCTTTGACCGAAATTTCCGCAGCTCGTAACAATCTGTTTCCGCTAACGCGATGTACATGGTCATTCATTCATCCGAAAGCCATCTTCCAAGCTATCCGCTGTGGAGGTCGTTAATTGTTTGTTTGCACACATTGCATAAAGTCCTCGATCCACAGCTTGTTTGCTGAGTTTTCCTGTCTAACAAAACTGGATACTGTCGCGTTATCTGGCCAACTCGACAGCTGTACTATCCGTTGAAACAAAAAGGTTTGAGGGAAAAAGAGTGGCCTGGATGGATTTACTCTGCAAACACACATTATCGAGACCAACTAACGCAAACAGGTTCGAACCCGATCGGGCACTGACCGGGTAGGAAGTGAACTAGAGTCTGCTTCAATCTGCAGATGAGCGTCTATCTTAACTTTGAGTAATTGCCCACAGCACACGTCCAAACACAGGATAAGCTCAGGGGCTATTTTATTACCCCCATTCCTGTCTCCCTCCCTCTCTCTGTCTTTGTTTTGTGCTCAAAGGCACTTGCTCATAATTCCATAACATACCAAATGCTTCCGTCGATCTGGTGTCCCAATCAATCCCGACAAACATATTCTGTGGGGCTGTTGATGTTGGCAGAATCTGGAAATCCAGGGTCAGTTCCATAGTTTTCAGATGTTCCCTAATAAACATCGAAGTTGTGGGGGGGGGGCGACAACATGCTTGGACATCTGATAATCATCCCAAACGGAAGGGAACTGAGACTGCCTCCATCCGAACAAGACCAGCGAATGTTTGGTCAGGTAAACTCGTGATGGTTATCGCAATCGGGCGTGACGAACGAAAGGGTCGTGTGCGAGCGACCGTTTACACCATGCCATATTAGTAGTGGGAGAAAGCTGTGTTCAAGCCTAATCAGAAGTCAGTCAGAATCGCTTTCCTCGCCCTGTTTCATCTTCAACATCTGTAGAGGATTGTGCGCATATGCCGATCAGACCCAATCCCGATTATTCAAGTTCTTTAGAAGGTTAAAATACACGGAATCGAAGGCATCTTAATTCATAAACAACTATGTTGATTAAACCATATGAACTGCATAACATCGGATTGCATTCCAAAATAACTGTTATATGGGCAGTTGAAGAATAGTCTGTGAAGCCGAAACCATGATATACCAGGTCTACCATGCTATCTCAGTCGCGAACCGATTGAGGTAGCTTGACCCTAGTCTCTAAGATATGAAGGTGTATCTCTGTGCTATATATGACAACCGGATTCATACGTCCTGAGCAACTTCGGCAGGGTTGAAACACAAGACAACTGACGGATGATACTGATACCTCGCTGTTGAATGCGACGCTTATTGTTACGCCATCATGCACAGGACGTTTGGCGAATCTCAATAGGTTTCTGTGACTTGCCCGCCATTCCTTCGGGTTCACATCGGATTCACAGGTTTGCCCGCTATAGCCCATCTTGTTCCTGGGGAAACATCCAGTGATCCTACCACTTACTGGATGCCAGCCAACCTCGTCCAAAAACTCGACGTACTGTAAGTCTGTGCCGGGATAGCTTTTAAGGGAAACGGTGGTATGTGAACAACCACACTAGTCTCCTCTCAGAGTGACCATTTGCTTACAGTGCCAGCACTAATACGAACCGAAACTTGGTCATCATATACAGCCGGGTGTTCAGCTTACATTGTGACCGGTTCGCTCTCAACCAGACACTGATAGGTTTATACGTCGGTCTGCATAATGCTCCCCATGTCAGGCGGGCAAACCTCTATTCGTTTGTTTGCCGTACCACTAACAGTGTTTTACTCAGCAGAAGGAAGTTGAGGCGCACATGCATGCTGGCATGCATATTTGTTCACTTATCGACTCATGTGTAACATAGACCATTTCACTTACTTTCTGGCTGGTTAAAATTCCTCAGACGTTATTTGTTCATTTGGTTTACTCGGGCACTTGTAAGACTGAGGTGCCAAATAATTACAGTATTTCGTCTACCATCATGCAGCTATTTTGACTAATTTCATCCAGTCTAGCCCAAAACCTAGATTGTTTTAAACTTCTCTTCTGCTGTACTCGTACCTCTTTCTTTTAACTAAATTCGTCATCCCCCTGGCTCATCGGTGGATGTCTCTTTCAAGTAAACCAAGTGTGTCTACTAAATTACGACCGAACGAACGGCAAATGAAACGTTCGACCTACATTTGTAGACTCGTCCGTTTGACCACAGACAAAGTGTGGGCACACACTAGCGCAAAGAGGTCTACAAAATCTCGGGGAGTGTGAATTCAATCACCACTACATGACCGGCAATAAAGCGAGTGATCTAGTCAACGTCAAAGTAATCACACTATTTTGTATACACAATAGTCCAGAGACAGAGGGATTTCATGTAACAGTTTGACTCTCTGACCTGCAGCGCTACTAGTGTGACCTCAAGTGCCCCCACCCTCACAAACATGAAAGTCCAGACGCGAACCTCGTCACTGCACTCGCCGTCCGAACACCAACTTGAAGATTGGTTCACCTACTCGTCTTTGGCAGCTTAGCTACCAGTCGCTTCATTGGGGATGGTCTTCGTATGTGTAAACACCAGCTGAGTCTGTTTATATCTCATGTCCGGTTTACCGATGATACACTCGTGTCGAGTTAGTTGTTGGTGTGCGGAGTCAGTCGCATGCACATACATGTGTTTATACGCATCTCAACAAGTTAACACCGACCGACAATGACGAGGAACAGCGAACACTCATCCCGGAAGGTCTTTTATACAGAGTTTGAAAAAGACTTACGTTGGGAGCTAATATGGTTGGAATCAGGATGAAAATAGCATGGGAATGATAACACTCCCCTACTAACGATGACATTCATCCGCAGACGAACTGGGTGATGTGTCTGGAGTTTCTACCCGGAAGCATGTCCTGTATGCATCACACTTTGGACTGGAACCGGATACACACTGTGTGTGCGCGTGTATGGGACGGTATGGGAGCAACCAAAGTCATTTCGGAATCATTTTCGCTAGCCGCTTGTCAATACTCTACGAACAGCGAAACTGACCTTTAGTACTCAGGGTTGGTGACAAATGAACAGATG